GTTATGAATTGAGTGAGCTCCTCTCTGGTAGAGGAGGTAGCGCCGATACAGTCGTCGATGTAGCGACCGTAGAGTTCCGGTTTGGACCCGTTGTATTGGCTGAAAAATTGATGTTCGACAAAACCTACAAAAAGATTGGCATAGCTAGGTCCCATTTTGGTGCCCATGGCTACACCATTGGTTTGTTTGAAGAAGTTGTTTCCGAATGAAAAACAATTGAGTGTGAGCACTAGTTCGGCTAAGCGTAGTAGTGTTTCAGATTTAGGTTCCTTAACAGTACGTTGATCAAAAAAATGTTTAAGGGCCAGAAGGCCTTCGCCATTAGGAATGACAGTGTAAAGAGACGTAATATCCATGGTGAAAAGAAGTTTGTTTTGGCCAAGGAAATTAAAGTCTCGAAAAATTTGAAGAGCGTGTTGGCTGTCTTTAATATATGATGGTAAAGTTTTGACGATGGGAGCCATAATTTTGTCTAGATAGCTGGAGATAAGTTCGGTTGGGCAACTGCAAGCCGAGACAATGGGCCAACCCGGGTTGTTAGGTTTGTGAATTTTAGGTAAAAAGAAAATACGAGAAGTTCTAGGAGTGGTTATGATGAGATTTTTTGCTGTGGCGGGCAATTCTTGTTTAGTTATGAGTTGGTTGATCATATTCTTGACGGAGTTTTGATTGCTGGTAGTGAGGTCTTTGTTGACCTTTTGATAAAAAGAGGTGTCAGAAAATTATCACAAATAATTTTGTGTCACAAAAGGCAATATTTTCTTCTATGTGCTATTTTCTTTGTGAGTGATCGACCTCTCTCAGTAAAAATTAACATCAAGAGATAAATTTGTCCAAAATTTTTTCAGGGTAGCTTCTATTTTTCAAGTATACATGTGTTTTGAAAGTCTGTACATTTTAAATAAATGCTGATGGTGAGAATTTGTTCTTGTGAAGCATAGCATCTCTCCTGTTACGATTCCTTTCTTTAAGTCCGGAGAATGACACAAATTAATCCCACAGGGATCAATGAACACTTTTCATTCCACTAATTTATTCGTGTTGTTCTCGTTGCCATGTTTCCACCAATAACGTAGCTCCATTTTCTGCCTTTAAGAGCACACACAAATCACAATTCCTCTATTCGCTCTGACGAAGGGCTAACGCTTGAAACGTCAGCTTTTTAATCGGTATGGTGGCCAATTTACCATTTCAACTTTGTTGATATATCCAAATTATGACACAAATTAATGTTTGTGTATTGGGAGGTCCCGGCATCTACTTGTTATGCATTTGTACGTCAGTGGTCAGTTCCTTGGTAGTCTCTTGCCTTTGGATGCTTTTGTGTCTGGGAATTTATTTTCTGAGGCAGATTTATCAGCCATCAATTTTTTTCATCTGTCAGTTGGTCATTTGGTGGGTTCCTGATGTTTGGAATGCATGACTCAATCTTGTATCCTTTGACCTTTGCCTCTTTTTTCTTTTGTGATTTTTGAGGGCTTTTTTTATTTGAGTTATGTTTTACCCTTGTTGTTTGTTTCGAGGAGGCAGAGAATGCATGCACACAAGATTCAACTTCTCTATTGCCTATTTGTCAACCTTGTTCAATTTAGCTTTTGATTCCATGGCAAATTGGTTGACATCACTTGCTTTTTAATGAATAGAATCTAAGGCCACGGATTTTAAGTTCATTTATCTTTCTTGTGTTTGCTAGCTCATTTTCTTAGCATTGTTGTAAGTCTCTCAACATGTTTGTGGTGAAATTTCACTGCCACTCTCATAAGGTCAGCTCTGCTTTTTTTCTAGTTGAGGTTGGATATCTGATTGAAAATCTTCATTGATCAAAATATTTGCCCCTAGGTTGTATCTTAGGCTTTTTGGACATGTGCCCTTCTTGTAATCAGCTTGACTGGTATAGTTTTTTCTAATTTGCATCAGGGATCTCTTGACTCCATTTCATCGAGGCTTTGTTTTTGTTTCACCATTGATTTCCTCCATGTGGTATCATAGTCTAATTGATTCAAAGCTACAGATGCTTTGGAGTCATATAGTCATTGTCTGAGTTTGAGTCTTTAGATGACATGGCTTTCTTGTGGTAGTTTATGATTGGTCCTTGATGTTTAAAGAACTGGAAATTCCCAAAAGCATTTCCTGTCTTGGCAACCTGTTTTGGTGTTTTTCTTTGTAGTTCTGGGATGATGTCACAACCTTCTGACCCAGGTCCCAAGTTGCCCAGTTATGAACATGAAAATTGAGCTTTAACTGTTTGGAATAATGGCGCTACAAAGGGTCACCCACGATTCCCAGGCTTTATAGCATAAGTTATGAAAACTAGGTGATTGTATTTGATCAACTTGAAACTTGGTGTACCAGGTTCTTTTGGAGGAAGATCAACCAATCAATGTTGTTTGACAGCCATTCTTAGTGTAAAGAACAGTATAACACTATATATCAGCCAGGACAAAGTACTCAAATTTCAACCCATGGTCTTGGCCATGGAAAAAATTGAAAAGGACATTTTGAGTCCAGACAGAAGGTAAGTTGGCCTAAAAAAGAGTTGTTCTATCACTTGCCAGCTTGAGAACAAAGTTGTGACTGTTGGTGAAGGAGAGCATCCCCTGCAGTGTCCTCATGCTTTTTGGTTTTCACGAAGAGCACCAGGAAAACTTCAGTCTTCTAATTATGCAGACAATATAAAGATGGTTGGAAAGTTTGCATCGGTAAGTTTGCTGTTTCATATCTCCAGGTCATAGCAAGATGTGACAAACTTTGAGATGAAAATTTATTGATATTTGTTTTAATTGTTTGGGAATGTAGTATTATTGTTATCAATATGGCTTGGAAAAGGAGATCTTCTTGTCTCCTCTTCTTGAATTGTGAAAACTATTGAATTACCATTAATATTATTTTTATAAAATAAATTCCCGTGACAATGGGTCCTCTATCAGTATCAACTATAAGCTGGTGGTTGTCCATTATTGGAGATATGAGATCAAACAGAGACAAAAACCCATTAATATATAGTTGCTAATTTACAGTATTGCTTGAAACACATTTTTTGTCATATTATTTATCCCAGAGATGTACCATCAAGATGTTTAATTTCTTTAATTATTTTCTCAGGTTGAACAGTTTTGGAGATTTTATAGCTACTTAGTTAGGCCTGGGGATTTATCCGGTCATAGTGATATTCACCTTTTTAAGGATGGCATTAAACCAATGTGGGAGGTTAGTCCATCAGATTTCAGATTTGGTAACATGTTTATTGCATTTTTTTTTGCTATAAAGTTAAAGATACTGTATTTCTTTTACTTTACATGTGAAAATTATCTCAGCCATTGCAGATTTGAGTGAGAGGAATTTAAAAAGATGTTCTCAAGTACCATAAGGGTTCAATTGAGTGCCTGGAGCACTTATTTACTTTTAGTACCTCAAGGGAGGGCACTTATTTGAAACAGGGTGCTTATTGGGGACATGGCAGGACATATTTTGTTTTAGCAAAGCAGCAGAATGTAAGAAACAAGGTTTTGATGTTCATTTCTCAAATTCATTAATAGTTCATGAGGGCAATGACCAATAAATAAGGTATATTTGGGTCACATGCATGAACCTTGATACCCAATGAACACTCAGATGAAAATGGTAAGGTTTTGATCTGAGTTAAAACATGGTTTTGATCTCAGATCAAACACTTGCATTTTAATGGGTATTTTTCAATAATTAACCTATTGACGTCCAGTGCGCCTGTAAGCGCCCATATGGACCCACACCCTTTCTACGCCTTGTGAAGTCATCACTTTTAATCCTGGAGTACGACTTTAAGCATATACTTGAACAGGTTGAAAATATCTTTACAAATGATACCAGAATGAGTGCAATTGAGTGCAGGAGATTGGAGAAATAGCCAAAAAACCATGTAACTTTGACCTGAACATCTGCACGAAAATCTTGTTCCATTACCCACCTACCTTTCTGAGCATGTGGTTTGAAAATAATGAGTAGTTTCCTAAAAAATCTCTACACCAAAATGAAGCCTACTAAATTTCCAGCAAGTGAGGAGAAACTTCAGGCAAGGAAAGGGGAAAAAAAGGGCAGGAGAAAGAGAGAAAAGTAAAAGTTGTAAGTGGGGCTTTACTTTTCAACCCAAAATCTCGAAATTTTGCTTTCTGCACGTGCCCGAGATTTTCAGGCCACCATTTTGTATTTGGATAGAATGGCCATCAAGCGTACAAGCTGTCAATGGGTTTGTGGTAAGTTTGAGCTTTTAAAACCACAACAGTCACCCGAAATCTGCTCGACTAGCTTCAAAACACAGTTTTTCACAAAAGCAGTAATAATTTCGGAAGTACTGGTACTAGTGCTTGGTCCTAATAGTGGGGACACTTCTTTACTTTTCTTATTACTAGCCTTTTCATACCTAAACAACGAGTCAGAATTGTGACCAGTTCTATCCCTTATCAATTTCTCTTCTACATGTAAACCTGCATTAAACAACAACAATGCAATAGTAACACAAAGACAATGAATTCTCTTTTGCTTGACACCTGCTGTCTTGCACATTTTGGGCAAACTGTCATTGAGTTTGTTGACACTAATAGGAGCTTTGTCAAAACTAAGCTATAATGTGGACAGCCTAAAGTAGAGTGCATTGCAATCTTTAACTTTAGTTTCTACCAACCCAACATAAAACTTGTAAATTTCCACAACACATTGCTCATCCAACTGTCCTACAGGATAACAAATATGTTGAACAACCTTGGGAATACACTTTAGGTCAGTTAAGCCCCCATGAATTGTTTGACATGAAACATGAATTTTCCTGAAACCTCACTTATTTGAGGGGATTTCAAAAATTAATGTAATTCCAAATATAATTCCAAAATTTTCAAATGAACAGCATCACCCCATTTTAGGAATAGATAAACAAGGAACATGGAAAAATTATGAAAAAAGGTTTGTTTTGGATGTCTTCCTAATGATAGACAAATACTGGAACCCTTTTTTCTTTGAAGAGTTAAGTGACATTAAGACAAAAAACTATCAGGCAATGTTTTGAAGAAATCTGGCGTGGAATAAGTGTAGGTGGAATGAACATAGGATTTGTCACCTTGTTAAGTATACGTTGTAGGTCAATTTGTTCTTTTGGTAAATTTGTTTCAAACTAGGTTAATTTGTTCTCAACCTAGGTCAGTTGCAGATATCTGTCTGTCTGTTTTTTTATTTTGGCTGTGATGAAATTGAAGTACACCTGCCTACCAGTTAGCTCAATGGATAGAGCGCTGGACTGTTGTGCGGGAGGTCGAGGGTTCGAGCCCCGGCCGGACCAACACTCAAGGTCTTAAAATAATTGAGAAGAATTTGCTACCTTTCTATAACATCAAGAATTGGTTAGATATTCTAGTCTTCTTGGATAGGGACGAATAAATGGAGGTCCCATCTCCTGCAGGGTTGGGGTAGGAGACGTTAATTTCCCACACACGAGATTACTGTGTGATGGATGTACTCCCCTGGGGTGGGATGGGTG